TATTACAATGATTATATTTGAAACATTGAAATGTTATTTCTAGCATCAGCATTTAGCCCACTAAAATTCCCACTCATTTTTGCATTACACCAACATTTGCTTCAAGTCTCCTTGAGCAAAGAGGGGCTTTAGGAACAATACCACCACCAAAATATTGGCATCTACAGCCAGTCTTCCATAGCTTTGTGAAATAATACCCACCCGAGGGTGTCGACAGGCATGAATTTGAGTGTTTCGATCTGTAGTAATATGATAGAGGATTTCTGGCATATTTTTGAACATGTCAAGTTTGTTCACATGCACCTAGAAAGAGACAGCATTTATTCTTAATTAGTTAAATGCATTTTCCAAATTGCAGCGAGAATAATTATAAAGTTGTGGGTTTGCCTTCAGCAAATATTGGGCAAATATTTGAACAGTTTAAACAATCACTATCCACTAATAATGTCCCATTAGAGAACTACTACCCCAAGATGTTTGACATTAACAAGCAGAACATACCTCCTATGCTACAGAAGGAGAAAGTAACTTTTTGACTGGTTTGACTTTTGATATCTGCTAATTATTAGTGTCACTTGGAGACAAGAAGGCTTTTCTCATGGCTCCTAAGATGTAAGGGAGAGAGATAAACATTGAGCTTGAAAAGTGGAGATTAACTAACTTCTTCCTACTAACTAACTGGAACACAGATGTACTTCAGTACAACTTTTTTTTAAGAATAGTTAATGAAAGTGGGCATACTTTCACATGCAACAGACCACTGAATAGGCATTTTTAGCTCAATAACTGGACACAATCATSATTCAGGGTCCGTTTTAAAGCAACAATTACAGAAGTGTTACCCTGATTCCAAGTTCCTCACTGAGATTTGTGAATAAATATTCATATCCATAGGCAGCTTTGCAGTTCAGCCACACCACATGATAGCGACTCAGTGCTGTCCAGCTTCTAACCAACTCCAAGATGCCATTTAAACACTCCTCCTAAAAGGAACAGAAACCACTGTGAATATCATTGAAAATACTTCAAGAGTGCAATGCTATAAAATGCATACAAAACATCCACAACAGAGGCTTGGGTAATTATCCCTAATGGCCGATTTAGACTTACCCTGCTKGGTATATGATAAAATTTGGGATCACAAAAAGTGGTGTCCAAATACACACTCTGGATGTCTCTTACACTGAAAGACAGAAACAACATCAGAGCAAGCAGTACTTCACAGCATTAAGATACACCCTTTCTCCTCTCTTCAAAAGGGGAGAATTCTTCCTCTTTATCCATACAGAGCAAGCCAAAGGGGACTTGTAACTGCACTATCAACTGCAAATGTATTTACATTACATATTGATGTATTTAGAAAACCAATGAAAAGAGGATATTATTCACAAATTCTCCATGTATGCTAAATATGTTCAAATCGTTCTTTCCAAATCTCATTGACAGCCAAAGCCTCATTAGAATCTGAATTAAAATGTAGTTATTTTTCTGTTACCTGGTCCCTGAATGCAGAAGCTCCATTCTGGCTGCTTCTCCTTTTGCAAGCCTGAARTCGCCTGTATACAGCACAGTGCCATTGTCACCTTGAAACAAAAACCTACAAACAGAAACAGTCTAGTCAGACTTGGTGTAAAAACATCAGCTGCCAGGTGAGAATTTGGTACTTAAGAGAAGTCTGAGGAGGAAATTTCAGAGAAAGTGCATGGCAGTAGAAATACTGGACTCAACTTTGTCCTAAGGTAATTTCAGAAAAATGCAATGATCAGACTGAGTATGTTCGGGATGCAGCCTCCCTGATCRACTCTGAGCAGCCTGCACATAAAAACCCCACTGGTTCTGCAAGGGGCAGCCCAGCTACTGCAGCCAAGGGAGTCTGAAAGGCATCTGAGCCAGAAAGCAACAACTTTTTCATGTCATACTTAGGAATAGGAGAGCTTACTCTTAACCACAGGCTTGCAGGTCATTTTTCAGTAGCAATTTCCTTGACTACAGGTGCACATAAATRTATAGGGAACGATATTCTGCCCAATCAGGAAAGCAATAACTTCTGTCAGGACAGATTCCAGATAGCACAGAGGTTTTCCAATGCTGTCCCAAGCTGGAGGGTGCTACCACATTTCTAAATAAGAGCTTTACATTCACTAACTTTGTCTAGTTAGAAGAAACTGTACTTGAGAAGGTTACAGGACAGATTTGCCAGCAGAGATATCTGGAACATTGAAAGGACATACATGACTGATCCTGGGCAGTGCCCAGCTGGTAGAAGCGTCACCTCTATATCTTCTTTCTGGAAGAGATGGGCTAGCATTATTTTCACACTGTAATGAGCATGGATGACATTTTCACCCACATAGTCAGAACAATTCCCTACTTCCCCCAGCTACACAATGGAGAAAAGAAGGGGAAAACAAGCACAAGTTTTTCCCATGCTCTTTTAAACATTGTTAATGTCCRTTAAAAATATACAAATATTGTTTGTAACCGATTACCTCACCAGATGTTTCATCTACTAAAGAAATTTGAGTAGGAGTTTCAATTTCCAATGCAATCTGTAATAAAATGAATAAATGCATCACAAGATGTACTGAACACTTTGTTTCATATTTATGGCTACACATTCACTGCCTAGACATCTTTAGAAACCACTGTGGCTAATGCTAAGCCTGTAAAATTACACTCATTTCCCTGCAGTGAGTTATGCATTTCCACTGGAAAGGAAAAAGAAAAGTTGATATCTAAAAATGAAATGGAAAAACACGGATAAGGTGTGCATGCTTAAAAAAGGTCATGTGTTGGACCTTAACAGAGCTCAGGTTGGCTTTCTCTGGCTGGATTAAGCACGTTATTTTGGAAGGCTGCAAAGCCCGAGATATCCYATGCACGGAGCACAGGTTAGCTAGGACTCTGTGCTGCTACAACATGACTTCCCCTTTTCCCAATGGCTTCTGGTTATGTTACTGACAAGTCGTACATAGCAGATGTATCCCCTGTTTTGCTTCATCCTTTACTGAAACCCAGAGTCCTTCAGCACAGATGTTCTGTGACCCTCTGCAAGGTTCATGCTGCTCAGTAGGTGCCTCCTTCCTCCATCCCCTGGCTCTTCCCTTTGTGCCAGCCAATATTTATATGCAATTTTCCTGACAAGAAAGCAAATCCTCCTGTCACCACCCTTCTAGCCTTGCATCCAAGCTGTCTACWTGGCTTTGGGGGTTTTACTGTGCTAGATGGACTCACAGGACAGCACACCCCAGATTTCTGGGCAGCAGTAAGAATTCTCTCAGCTGGTACATGCACAAGCCTGTAGCATTTGGCATCTCTGCCAGAAACCACAAAAACCACTCAGCCATCAAATCCCTTCCTTGCTCCAGATCAGATGCAGACCTCAAAAAGCATTTTAGACAAAGAATTCAGATCTTTGACTCTTTAGACAAAGAGTCTGAACAGGAAGATCATACTCCTCATGTAAAACAGGACTTCAACCGCATTGTCTAAGTTTAACCCCTGAAAAAACGTGTCAACACCACCAACAACAATACTTCTGAGGGAAGGAAAGTTTCCTCCTCTCCAGAGCCATAACTTGGGACGTTTAAACTAAAACCATAAAACTTACAATGCGATTCTCCCAAAACTTGTACTTTGGGCTAGTCAGCAGCAATTCCTTAGTTACGGGTGAGCAGTATAAGTTAACCTTCAAGCTGTGAGAAGACAAGAAAGGCGGTGAGCATTCCCAGAGCAATGGGCAGCGGGCAGGACTCGTCCTCCGGAGCCCCGCGCCGCTCCGCAGGGCACCAACCTGCGGCGGCAGTTTTGCCCCAAGCCTCGAGGGACAAGGCGAGCGCTCACACCCCCTCCCGCCCCGGTACCTGCACTGCAGCCTCCTCCTCAGCGCGGGCGCCCGCAGCCCCTTCATGTGATCTAGGAGGGAAGCGGCGGGCGGTGAGGCCGGGGCGCCGGCGCCGCCGCGGCCGTTGGGGCCGTTGGGGCGGGGCGGTGGGGGAGRGGCGTTCCCCGGGGCTCACCCTTGTGGCAGTGCGACAGGAAGTAGGCGCGCGCGCGCAGGTTGTGCCGGTCGAAGCGGTCGATGGACACCCAGGGGTACTCGTGCACGCGCCCGCCGAACCGGCTCATGGCGCCGCGACCGGCAGCGCGACCGGTGCCGCTACCGCCGCCTCCGCACCGCGGCCAATCACAGGGCGCCCCCGCTCATACGTCATCAGGCTGCCGGTGAGGAGGGCAGCTCTCCTTAAAGCGGCAACGGCGGCGGTTGCCTGGCAACGCGCGGCCGCGGTGGCCGTTAGTCCAGGCCGCGGTGACCGTTAGTCCAGGCCGCGGTGGCCGTCGGGTCGCTCCGCGGTGGCCGTTAGTCCAGGCCGCGGTGGCCGTTAGTCCAGGCCGCGGTGTCCATTGGGTCGCTCCGCCGGAGGCCGTTGGTCGCTCCGCAGCCGCGGAGGCGCCGCGGGGCAGGGCGGACCCGGCCGCGGCCGCAGCGGGAGGTGCCGGGGAGCCGCTGGGAGCGGCCGTGGCCGCGGGGGTCTCCGCGGGCGGTGAGGGGCGCTGCGCCGGGAGCTGTGTGATGGGCGGGCGGTGAGGCTGCGGTCCGCGCCACCACGGCGGGGCTGGGGCAGTGTCACCATGGTGGGGTTGGGGGACGGGTTGTGGAGGTGAGGCAGGGGTGCTGTCACTATGGCAGGGTAGSGGGTGGGAGTTGTGGTTGTGGAGGTAAAACAGGAGATGGTGTCACCGTGGTGGGGCAGGGGTTGGGGGTTGTGACTGTGGAGGTGAGGCTGGGGATRGTGTCACCACGGCAGGTAAGGGTTGGGGGTTGTGGTTGTGGTGAGGTGCTGGCACAGTGGCCAGGCAGAGTCGTGGTCACGGTGATGGGATTGGGATGACTGTCATGGTGGTGGTCCTGAGGTCATGGTGATGATCCTAGAGGTGGAGGCAAGGTCTGGGGGTCAGAGACCTGATGGGGGGCTGGTTTGGGGGGTCACAGTTGTGGTGGCAGCAGGGCTGGGAGTGACCATGGAGATCAGCTGGAAGTTGGGGATATGATTGTGGTGGGGGGGGGAGCTGAAGCTGCATTTGAAGGGGAAACACTTTCACACTGGGCATTATTTTATTCACAGATCTTTGAAACAAACTCTCTTTATGTTCAACTGAGCAAGAATTGCCCTTATCAGCCTCTGGCTGGTTAATCAACTGGCAGGCCCTCAACCTGCAGGCTCTTCAGGGCAGAGGTCACTCTCCCTAGGGGACATCTTCCYTTGGGGATCATTCCCCCTTGCTGGGACAGTAGGACTCCTGCCCTGTTTTTTCCCTTTTTCTCACTAATATGGTGGTGAGTACTTAACTAATTTCATTTTTTAGGAGACATGTTCTTTTCCTTTGTGAACTTTAAGGAAACAAAGGGAACACAGGTGGGAAAAGAAGCTAAAAAGCAGTAGCATTGTAGGAGGACTGATTTAGTGAGAGAGGACTGCTGCATCTTTTCAAGAATTTGAAATAAGTAAGTAGTAAGCTGTTCTTAGCTGCCCAACTCCAGGGGGTGATTAATATTGTTAAGGGAAGTCAAAACCAGTTCTCTGCAGTACCCAGAGAATTCTCCTGTCTTAGTCCCGTAGGTGCAAGCTGCTGCTTCAGCAAGTAGCCAACTGGAGTTTACTCACACTACATGCATGTGCCTGGCCTTGCAGACCRGCAGACTAAAAACAGTATCTTTAGCAGCACCCACATAAACTTGCAYAACACAAACTGTTGGTTCTGTCAAACTGTCTCCAGGTGGTCAGGACTGAGGGTCACTAGTGAACAGTGCTCYCCTCCCTCTCATGGTTCACAAAGATCCCATGAGCCTGTTGAATATTAGCATGGGCATTAAATCACGCCCATGCCCAGGTTCCTTGTCCATGCACCACCTCAGACATTTGGCCATTCCGCGTCCATTTGGTCATGCCAGCCCCTCCCTGCTCGCRGGACTAGTGCAGCTGGAAGTTTGCTAGTGAATTAAACATATGCACACAGAGTAGAGCACTCTGGTATTGTATTTATCTCTCGTATGAGGAGAGACTGAGTGAGTTGGGCCTGTTTTCTCTGGAGAAGAGAAGGCTGAGAGGGGATATGATTAAWRTGTRTAAGTTCAGGAAGGGAGAATGCAGGGAGGAAGGGGACARGCTGTTTTCACTGGTGGCCAGCGATAGGACGAGGGGTAATGGCCATAAGCTGGAGCACAGGAGGAACACCTCTCCAGGTSAGGAGGAACWTCTTTACTGTGAGGGTGACAGAGCARTGGAACAGGCTGCCCAGGGGGGTTGTGGAGTCTCCTTCTCTGGAGGTCTTCAAAACCCACCTGGATGCCACCGTGTGCCACATGCTSTAGGTGTGCCTGCTTGAGCAGGAAGGTTGGACTAGATGATCTCTAGAGGTCCCTTCCAACCTTGAATATWCTGTGATTCTGTGATATAGGTGGGAAGTTTACAGAGACAATGTGCTTTAAATAGTGGTGTGAAAGTATCAGAGTGGCCGCCTTAATACTTGAATGCACTAAGCTTATACTTGGAATATCTGACCTTTATTTTGCGTGTGTTTTGGGGCAGGAACGCCTGTTACAGGGCATCTGAATTAATGGTCAGTCAGGAAGTGCCAGGCACGTCTAGATGCACCCAAGACGCACATTCATTAGATGAACTGAGTACATCCTGTACAGAAGTGCACAAAAGTAGTGACATGTAAGTTGCTGTAAGAAGCTTCTAACATCATAGTAGCTTAGCATTTATTAGTAGTAATAATATTTCATCTTAATATTATTAATTTACTAATATTTTTTCAGTTAGTCCAGTTTGACAGCAGTCTTCATATAAAAACAGGTGTACAGCACATGAGGAATTCTGTAATGGTTATAGAAGGGCCCCGGAGCAAGGGAGGAGGAAAAGAAACATTGAGGCAAATGCCTTCAGGACTATACTGCTTACAACACAAATACTTGCAGAGCATAGTAGTGTGCACATGGCTCCTCATGACTGGGTGGGAAAATGAGCTCTATTAGTAAACGCCTGCTTTCAATTACAGAAAGCCAGTAAGACTGCTGTGCCTAATAGAAGATTTGGAGCACTGAACTGCAGGAAACAGTGTAGTGTTGCTAGCAGAGAGCCTTCCTGTGCCTTTTTTCTCCATTGATCTTTAATAAGACCTTGAGAGGGAAGGCTCTTTTGCTGTTTGCCAATGGCCTTCACACTCTTTAGAGGGATACAGCAGAGGTCTGCATCTTTCATGTTAGGATAAAAGTAATTCCAGATACCGGTTTCCCAATGTATTGTTTGCCAGAGTGTAATTTCTTTCCTGCACTTGCAAGAGCCCAAAATCACTTATGGATTTAATAATACATCAGCATTTGATTTTTCAAGCTTTCAGTTGATGTAATCGCTAGATAGGAATTTTACCTTCAGTGCAGGATTTGGAGGCAACTTATTAAGTGTGGRGAAGAAGACTGTTAGTCTTCTCATTGAAAAAACAGAAGCTTTTTTTTTTTTTCCCTCCTTTCTTTCATTTCTGCCTTTCTGAGAAATACCTTTTCTCATTACTGAGCTGAAGGTTGGTGATGATACAGAGCTAAGAGGACTCATTTTTGATCGTATCTGCAAGATACTAAAGCATTTCATAGAACTTCCTATCTGAAGCAATTTAGAGTTTCATTTAGCAACAGAGTAAGATATGCTCAAGAAAACTAATGCACTGCAATTATAAGGTATAAAGTATCAGGCAAATGATTCATGTGATATGTGTATTTATCTATTTTTTAAATATAGTTCAGAGCCATCCTTGGTGTGTTTCCAGTGAATTCACTGAATTCTCAGGGGTTTTGTTTAATTTTGTTTTTTTCTTTTTTTTCTGCTTCGCTTTGTTTTTGTTTTATTCTTTTGCAGTTTAGKTTTTATCTGTCATTGAGCTAGTCATAGTCTGCTGTCATTCAGATTTAACACTTGATTAACCTATTCACCATTTCTTAGCGTATTTGAACAATTTCATAGGGGACTTTGTGCAGAGAGCAGGAGTGTTGAAGTCACTACACGTTCTTGAATGGGCAAATGTAGATTAGGGTGAGTTTTGGTAGATTCTATGCCTTTCCTCCTTAATCTCATCCAACATAATTCTTAAGAGTTCTGCCTTTGGCATGTACCTAGCAAAATATTTCCACCTTTYTTTTCCTGATCTGAGTATAGCTGTTCTTCAGTAGCAGCCCCATTTTTCATTTGTCTTTTCAATGGAAAGAAAAGAAACCTGATGAGCTGACATTCCCAGGGAGGCAGGAGAAGAAGCAGTAAATAGGCTCAAGTGAATTTTAGCCAACACCAACCAACCTCAAGCAAAAAAAAGATAAAAATTTTTTACAAATAGAAATGTAGGTGATTTGGGTTTATTTGAGAGCAACTAGTGCGTTTAATCTGATCCTGACTGCTTATGGTGGGTTTGGGGCTTTAGCTCAGACTTTGAGGGAAGGTATTACTGCACTATCTGTATTTTCCTTACTCGTCTTGATTTTGATATGCCTATTGGTGTCTGATCCAAACAAAATGATTAGCTTGGAGTATCCTTAATYTCATTTTAAAAAATCTGATTTCAGGAAAAAGTCTGACAGTTCTGGAGTCATGGCTAAAGCTGATATCAAACCAAAGTCTATATGTCATGCCAAAAAATGGTCAGATGAGGTAGAGAACTTATACAGATTTCAGCAAGCTGGCTACAGAGATGAAGTTGAATATAAACAAGTAAAGCAAGTTGATACGGTAAGATTTAGAACTGTGAAACTTCTTTGTTTTGTACTAAATGATTAAATAAACATGAAAGTGTCTCAGATGTCCTCCTCTTTTTTTTCAGAGATTTCTGATACATTTTTCTGTTTCCTCACCTAATTTGACTTGCATTCCTTAGCTGTTAGTAACTAAGCAGAGTAATTTGTTCTACAGAAATTAAATGGAAACTCTAGCCAACGTGAGTTTATGTTCCCCTTCTCTCTTCTGCATTTAGATGCATTATATATTTCCATATTTTTTTGACTAGTTTAAGCTGTCATCTAAAAGAATAGTTCAATGTTGAAGAAAAGAATACAGCAAAGGTAGTTTTCTAAAGCTTTCCTGTTATACTGCCAAGAAGCCTGGATAAGAAAGTAGCTCAGTGTCCAGGTCCTCAGTCAGTCCTTCCTCATTGCTACTAACTTCAGTTTTACAGCTGAATTGCATGTAGTATAATTTGGCTTTTTTGCACCCTCAGAATCTGGCTATTGAAGTTCATTTCCCAAAGCAGCATTTAGTCTCCCAAGTCCAACTTGAAATTATATTAGCTTCTTGTGCAYGTGGGTGCAGAATCTTCCTAACAAAGTTACTCTTCATCTAACTGACCTAAAACAGTAACTTGTAGATGTGCRAAATAAGATGCAGCTAATGCTGTCGTCTTATGCTTAGATCCTACAGTGGAAGGTGCAGTGTAAAAGTCCTTTACCAGTGCAAAAGGATATCCAGTAATTTGAATGGTAGAATCAGTCTGGTTAAGATTTATGGCAGGCCATAAACTCTGAACAGTCAAACTCTGACATTAGTTAAGTCACAGCACTTATTTCAGTTAAAAATTAACTCGAGTTTTGTTCAGACTTCCCAGGATTACTYTATTTTTCTCAAGTTGCTAATAAAATGCATGACATAAATATTTTTCATGATAAGAGATTCCAAAAGAAATCCTTAAATGTCAGGCTTTTATAAGCAGAATATTCTAGTTTCCCCAGTTACTGAGCAACTGATGTTTTATTCTAATACATTTTTTAACTTTCACTAGTCCATTTTTAAATTACTTGGGGTTTATCAGGTAGTCTTAGAAACTTATTTCTGTACTTTTCAGTTCACAATACTTTATACTAGACAGGGAAACTGGTTTCTGATATCTTGCTCTTAATCTATATTAAAAGTTAATTCAATAGTAAAGCAGTGTTTGAATGCAAATGATTTTTTTCATGCAAGTATATGCTGTATTGTTTACAATGTAATGCACAAATGTAATTCAGTGTGAGTACATTCAGGTGAATGTATATCCTTTTTGTTTTGTTTCTAGGTAGAGTGTTGGCCAGAAACTGGATTTGTTAAGAAACTACAGAGAAGGGACAATACTTTCTACTATTACGATAAGCAAAGAGAATGTGAAGACAGAGAAGTTCATAAAGTAAAAGTTTACGTTTATTAGTCTTGTTGTTGTAATCTGTTTGTATATATTTTTCTAAATCTGTTTGTCAGTTGGAAATTTTAAGTAAATGAGATTTGTCTAATCTGACTTGCTCTATTTTTAAGTATTAGGTGTCATTATTGGATAGAATGGGGAAGAGAGGAAATCTAAAGAGAATTTTGGAATTCTGGCCGTGGAAATTCTAATTTGATTCTGGGATAGCATACTACAGTCATATTAGCCTTCATTTTTCCAGTTACAAAAATGTTTTGGCATCTAAAAAAAGCCAAAAACTTGCAAATGAGTATCATGTGTTTGGTTTAATAACTGTGTGGAAGGTCTATTGTAATTAGAGGCATTAATTTTTACTCAAAACAGTGTCGTTTTGTTGACGCTAGCTAGTATTAGCTACAGTCTCTTGAGATAGCTGAGGTTAATGACACTACAAAGAGCCAAACTTCGGTTAAAGCCTTATCTAGCTACATATTTTTTTTTACAATAGGATTTATTAGATATAGGATTTATTAATTTATTATTAATTATCAGAATGAAATTCTATTTCTGAACCATAGATAAGGTATTCCCAAAGTATTTTTTTAGGATTTAAGTATTAACAACTTTCAGAGGAAGTCGTTGACTTGGCAGCATATGCCTTTTTTATGAGGGAGGAAAGAAAGAAAAGCTATTGCAAAGTTACATAAGTTGTGATCAAGAAGAACAAAGCTGCAAAGAGAACATGAAAAAGATTTAAGTAAGTAAGATTTAAGTAAGATTTAAGTAAGTAAATTAAACAAATGGTGTGTTGTACCTCTGGCAGGATTCATCTCATCTGACTTCAGATGTTGTGCTGTTGACCTCTGTATCTGAGCATGTCACTTAGGTGCTGGTTGTCCGAATGGAGGGAAGCAGGCCCTTCTGGGCACAATCCTTTCTTTTTTCCTGAACGTAGATGTGTAATATTTTCTTTGATCATGTTACTCGGTAAAATCTGTCCATGTGGATTCCCTGAGACACCTGATAAACCAGAGGCATCATACTTACCTTTCATTCCTCAGGGACTCTYCGTATAATGCTTCAAGATGCTGAAAGCCTGTGGAAGAGATTACTATTAAGCCAGTAGATGTGTTGATGACAGTTGCACAAAATGTTCTTAGTATCTCCTGTTTCTAGACTGCAAAGCAAAGTTTGCCAAAGTGTGTTTTAGACATGGATTAGGATGTGGATGTTGTATACAGCAATATATTTGCCCAAATTATGGATAGACTTTTTGATTTGAACCTAAGATGCTGACCAGTTTAAGATGGAATATTCAGTATTGAGAAGATCTGTGAACTGGATGAAGGTGATCTAGGCACCTTATTTACACTAGTTTGAGTTTTTTAGCCTAAACTTATATTGTCTGCATTATTAAATAAATGAGTGGAAGGCAATTGAAAGCAAGAGGGAAGTTTAGCTATTTTAATGTTACATAAATAGTAATTTACTACAATGATGGGGGGGAAAAAGCATTGCTACAATAAATTTCACTTCAAGTTTTCATTACCATTACAATTTCTTTGAGCTACTTTTTAATTTCTTTCTGACTTTACAGAAGACTTTTCATATGCTTTGCAAGCAAACAATGCAAAGAGAACAGTTAAAATCTATCCATTTTGTTACTCACTTTTTTCAGTTCATGGATGCCTGAACAGAGCTATTCTAGGAGACATGGAAAAAAATTTATAGATGTTCAGTGTAAGCAATTATAAKCAAGATAATCAAGAAATTATTGCTACTGACACGAGGAATAACTTGTAAGAAAACAATTGCATAAGCTTCACTTTCCGTCTGTAATAAATTCGTAGTTAAAGAATAATAATTAAAGCTGCAGATAACTTTATTTCAGGCTCAATACTTTTGAACACAGACATTTAAAGTTGAAACAAAATCAAAGATTATTCCTGCTTTCTTGTGTCTCTCTTGTAATAATGTCTTAATACAATGAGTGTGCCTTTAATACAGCCACTGGGTTTTTTCATGCCAAGCAATTAGCACTGGAATTCATGTTTCATTTCTGAAACACTAGTTTTATATGAGTTGGCATGTAAAACTTGTAGCTGTGAGAGAATGAGTTTCCTAGATTTTATTGCTGATGGTTTTTTTTTTTTATTTTTTAGGTGTGCTAATGAATTGAATTTCAGTGTCATTTAAAGGTCAATGGGGTGAATAGGAACAAAAAGTTGTGGAATTAATTCTGAAGACCAGTGCACAGAGCCCTATTCTTATATTTAAGTTTACTCATGCCAAAGCGAGGGGAAAAAAAAGCAGGTTATCTAATGTCAGTGACGTTTTCAGTCCTAATTATCCTTTGACATCTTATTTGTATACATATTTCACTCRCACAAAATGATTTCCCCCTCCCCTGAAAAAATAAAGTGCTTGTAACTAACCTTGAGGCTGTTGGGGCTTCAGCCATGGCCCTGGTGTGGACACTTGCTTGGCATATTCCACAAGTAGATTTTATATCTAGCGCGGGTGTCACCTGAGCCCTCGCAAGTGTTCCACAGTTTGGTTTATGTTTGGTGCCATCCCGCCCAGTCAAGAAGCTAAGATGAAATAATTTGCAATCTGTAAGAGGCAGATGTGAGGCATTGCTCACTAAATATAAATACTTCCAGCTCAGAAGGTCCTGGGTAATGTACACTCAGGGGCTTAAGAGCAATAGCCCATGAGCCTCCTAATCAGAAAGTCARAAACGTGTATCAGAACTTCCTTGATTTGATTAATATGTAACTGAGCTGTCCTGCCTGTCACCTCTCTTCTTTAAGCATATTGCAAACTAAGTCTACTTGCATGTCAAATTAAGGGCCCTAAGCTCCAAAAGGGYATAGGGGTAAGCAGGTTATTGGTAGTTGTGCTTCATTTTCCAGGTGACACAATAGTTCACTTGAATTATTAAGGTAAAGAACTTGCATTGCCATTACAAAAACTGCATGAGCATTTTTCATACTGAGCTTTAGTTGCATAAATAATACTTGCATATTGAGTTTGAATGGTTTTCTTCTAAATCTCAAACCATTAAGCACAGAGGAGAACAGATGTGTTTAAGTAGAGCTGTGATGTGAATGGCCCTGCTGTTAAAGACGTTATGGTTCCTCTGAACGCTCACCGTTTTTCTGTGCTTGTTCTATCCTAATCTTCCCCTTTCTCCCGCTTTGGCCATTCCCATAGTAACCTTTGCACAGTCTCCTGAGCCTCCCAAATATCCCCTAATAACCATGATAATCCTGTTTCGCCCTTCCTWTTAAGTACCAACAGGAGGCAGAAGCGAAGGAGGTTTTGTACATGGCAGCTTCTTTGCTTTTGCTCTGGGTGGCTAAAGGATGTGCTGGGGTGTCCCAAAGGATGTGGCTGTGCCAAATAGCAGACATTYGGGGGAATATTCAGTGCTGGGATGTGCCTAGGGAAAGGTGGGCTACAGCTGCCAGAAGGTACATGCCTGGGATGTGGTGTGTGTCCTTCCATGGGCTCTTCAGATATGGCTAGGTTTCAATATAACACCTGAAAATCACTCTCTAGAGGAGGCATTCACTGCAAAACAGGGAATGTTTCTGTGGCAGCCCGTCATTTATAACTTTGTCCTCAGTGAGAGAGAAATATCTAGAGCTCTAGCTGCAGCCACAGAGACAGATGGTTATTTAGAAGGTCRTTGGATTAGTATTTTTTCAAACAGGAGCAATATTTCAACAGAGAAAGATCTATGTATCTGAAGGACGAATTTAGAGATGTTAATAATATAAATAGTGCAAGCAGGTTGTGGGGAATGTGAGGCAAAAGAAATAGACAAAATATAAAAGCTCAGTCATGCTAAAGATAGTAAGACATTAAAATGGCATTAGGAATCATAGTTTAGGAGTGATTTTTGAAATCGGCACTTCGGAGGTTTTATTTCTGGAACATCCTAATGAACCTCCCAAGGACTATGATAGTTTCTGGCTAAAAACATCCATCTCAGCCTACAAGTCTTGAGTAAAAGCAGAGGCTTGTGTCACAGAAGGCACCATAGAAGGCTAAAGTGACAAGAGGGGAATAAAACACTACAAAAYGAGGATGAGCTGGTTGTTCTGTATCTTTCTGCAGTTTATGGGAAGCAGCATCTTCCTTTTACAAACTGCAAAACAATCCAGGCTTCACCTAAAGCAGCTGTGATGTCCCATCTGCACCCGTGCCCCCCGTCTGCTGCTGCCGAACTCTCTGTGACTGGCAGTGTCRTTTCCCCTCTGCCCTTAGAAAGGGTGTTTAGAAGAAAACACAAGTGATTTCTCTAAATCTTCTCTCATCAAACGCTGTGCCTTTTTCAGCTGAGATTTGGGGCATGAAGGAGCAGACAGCAAAGCTGCTGTGATGAATCGAATGAGATAACGTAAAATCCACAGTCCTTGGAAACACAAACTCCTGGCAAACTTGTAGGAGAGACAAGGTTATCATGAGTAAATCAAACAACATATCCATGACTCCATATGTTTCAGTGTCTTTGTTTCCTCTTTCATTGGATCTCAAAGATTAAAGCATCAATGTAGAAAAGTAAAGTAAAAGATTTTGGGTGGTAAAACCAAACTTAAAACCTGCTGTCCACATTTCACAGGCTCTGCAGGAGGAGAAAGGCTGAGGCTGCGTGTGGATTATGTGAGCTGGAGTCTCCCTCTGCTGACTGCCCCGACTACCTGAAACTTTGCTTTATTTTTCAAGGCTAAAAAGCCGTGTTTTCCCCGCTTTGCTGTTGTGCCTGCGTTTCTCACTCGTAACCCACCCCTATGACCAGCATCATAGTTCTTAGGTGCTGGGTGCTGCTGACTCTGTGCAACAGCAGGTCTGGTCTCCCCAGYGCTCATCCACGCTGTTCGTGACCATTTGTGTTTGCTGCTAGCTGATTTTTCCATTCCAAGATAATGCACAAATCCACRTTTAGAGGAAAATCTCTGAAAACTCTCAGGGAGACACTGTGAGTTGATGAGAGATGAGACCAAAGCAGAGAGGAGCTTATAGACAGGACATGCCAGAAGTAATTGTTGCTGAGCTTGGTTTTCATTCTTTTTGGTGTGAAGATGCCTGTTAACTCCTCTTGCTATCGGTTTAAAAACATTTCTGTTCTCACAGGCAGCCGTAAGTAAAACTGACCCTGGGAACTGTGACACGTGAAGGTTTGGGTTTCTGTTCTGTTTTCCTGAGTAACCTCGGAAAACCCCGGTTCTTCTCAGGGCTTTCTCACACCCCCAGCCGGCCCCTGCCACCTCGCTTTCCCCTTCGCCCCTGCTAATCCCAAATCTCTTCCTCGCTGCTGAATTGCAAGRCAGTTCTCTCAGC